CATCGGTAGAGCGTCGTCATAATTGCCTTGATCTTCATAGACAACACCAATGTTGTGATATGTCGTAGCAATACCTGGATGATTGTGACCAAGTTGTGTTAGTTTAATCTTCAGCGATTTGTTATACATCGATAGAGCGTCGTCATACTTGCCTTGATCTTTATAGACACTACCAATGCTGTTATAAGTCGTAGCAATACTTGGATGATTGTCACCAAGTTGTGTTAGTTGAATCTTCAGTGATTTGTTATACATCGATAGAGCGTCGTCATAATTGCCTTGATCTTTATAGACATTACCAATGTTGTGATAAGTCGTAGCAATACTTGGATGATTGTGACCAAGTTGTGTTAGTTTAATCTTCAGTGATTTGTTATACATCGATAGAGCGTCGTCATACTTGCCTTGATCTTTATAGATACTACCAATGCTGTTATATGTCGCAGCAATACCTGGATGATTGTGACCAAGTTGTGTTAGTTGAATCTTCAGTGATTTGTTACACATCGATAGAGCGTCGTCATACTCGCCTTGATCTTTATAGACAACACCAATGTTGTGATATGTCGTAGCAATACTTGGATGATTGTCATTAAGTTGTGTTAGTTTAATCTTCAGTGATTTGTTATACATCGATAGAGCATCATCATACTTGCCTTGATCTTTATAGACATCACCAATACTGTGATATGTCGCAGCAATACTTGGATGATTGTGACCAAGTTGAGTTAGTTTAATCTTCAGTGATTTGTTATACATCGATAGAGCGTCGTCATACTTGCCTTGATCGTTATAGACTTGCCCAACATTGCTATAAGTTATAGCAATACTTGGATGATTGTCATCAAGTTGTGTTAGTCGAATCTTCAGTGATTTGTTATACATCGATAGAGCGTCGTCGTACTTGCCTTGATCTCTATAGACTTGCCCAATATTGTTATAAGTTAAAGCAATACTTGGATGATTGTCACCAAGTTGTGTTAGTAGAATCTTCAGTGATTTGTTATACATCGATAGAGCGTCGTCATACTTGCCTTGATCTTTATAGACACTACCAATGTTGATATATGTCGTAGCAATACTTGGATGATTGTCACCAAGTTGTGTTAGTTCAATCTTCAGCGATTTGTTATACATCGATAGAGCGTCGTCATACTTACCTTGATGATTATAGACTTGCCCAATATTGCTATAAGTTACAGCAATACTTAGATGATTGTCACCAAATTGTGTTAGTTGAATCTTCAGTGATTTGTTATACATCGATAGAGCGTCGTCATACTTGCCTTGATGTATATAGACACTACCAATGTTGTGATATGTCGCAGCAATACTTAGATGATTGTCACCAAGTTGTGTTGGTTGAATCTTCAGCGATTTGTTATACATCGATAGAGCGTCGTCATACTTGCCTTGATGTCTATAGACACCACCAATGTTGTGATAAGTCGCAGCAATACTTGGATGATTGTCACCAAGTTGTGTTAGTTTAATCTTCAGTGATTTGTTATACATCGATAGAGCGTCGTCACACTTGCCTTGACGATTATAGACACCACCAATGTTGTGATAAGTCGTAGCAATACTTGGATGATTGTCACCAAGTTGTGTTAGTTTAATCTTCAGTGATTTGTTATACATCGATAGAGCGTCGTCATACTTGCCTTGATCATTATAGACACCACCAATGTTGTGATAAGTCGCAGCAATACTTGGATGATTGTCACCAAGTTGTGTTAGTCGAATCTTCAGTGATTTGTTATACATCGATAGAGCGTCGTCATACTTGCCTTGATCTCTATAGACACCACCAATGTTGTGATAAGTCGCAGCAATACTTGGATGATTGTCACCAAGTTGTGTTAGTTGAATCTTCAGTGATTTGTTATACATCGATAGAGCGTCGTCACACTTGCCTTGACGATTATAGACACCACCAATGTTGTGATAAGTCGTAGCAATACTTGGATGATTGTCACCAAGTTGTGTTAGTTGAATCTTCAGTGATTTGTTATACATCGATAGAGCGTCGTCATACTTGCCTTGATGATTATAGACACCACCAATGTTGTGATAAGTCGCAGCAATACTTGGATGATTGTCACCAAGTTGTGTTAGTTGAATCTTCAGTGATTTGTTATACATCGATAGAGCGTCGTCATACTTGCCTTGACGATTATAGACACTACCAATACTGTGATAAGTCGAAGCAATACTTGGATGATTGTCACCAAGTTGTGTTAGTTGAATCTTCAGTGACTTGTTATACATCGATAGAGCGTCGTCATACTTGCCTTGATCTCTATAGACATCACCAATGTTGTGATAAGTCGTAGCAATACTTGGATGATTGTCACCAAGTTGTGTTAGTTGAATCTTCAGTGACTTGTTTAACATTGATAGAGCATCGTCATACTTGCCTTGATCATTATAGACACCACCAATGTTGTGATAAGTCGTAGCAATACTTGGATGATTGTCATCAAGTTGTGTTAGTTGAATCTTCAGTGACTTGTTATACATCGATAGAGCGTCGTCATACTTGCCTTGATGATAATAGACACCACCAATGTTGTGATAAGTCGTAGCAATACTTGGATGATTGTCACCAAGTTGTGTTAGTTGAATCTTCAGTGACTTGTTATACATCGATAGAGCGTCGTCATACTTGCCTTGATCATTATAGACACCACCAATATTGCTATAAGTTACAGCAATTTTTGGATGATTGTCATCAAGTTGTGTTAGTTGAATCTTCAGTGACTTGTTATACATCGATAGAGCGTCGTCATACTTGCCTTGCTTATCATAAATACTTCCAATGTTAAGATAAGACTTACTCATATTGATATCTTCATTTTCTGACCATTCTGATTTTATTCCAAGTGATTTGTTAAAATCTTTTAAAGCTCCATTCAAATCACCTTGCAATTCTTTAATGCACCCTTGTCTATCAAAGCACTTTGCAATTCTTACTCTATCTTGTAGTTGTTCGGCTAATATCTCCGCATTTCCTCTCCATTTATCAGCTTCTATCAGTTTATATTGATTTAAATAATAATCGGCTATGTCCAGATAAATATCGTGTTCAAGTTGATGGTGATGATTATTATTACTATTCTTGGACGTAGATTGGATTTGAGTAACAGCTTCTTTGTAATGTAATAGAGCTTGTTCATAATCGCCTTCTTCAAAGCATTTCATACCTTTTTTGTGGATAAATTCGGTTTCATCGAGGATAGTCAATTTTGTGGACTCATATGCCGCCATGTTTCAATTTATAACAAGACTGAAAGCATACACAGTAATTTGGGGAAATAAACACTAGTACTCTAATCGATAGAGGTTGCAACTTTAATAGAGATGCGATTGATTATCGCACTCGTCTTTACATTATATGATTGGGCCAAACTAATGCCTTCTATTTAATGTCAAGATTTCAAAATCTATGTTAGTTCACTGTGCGCTCAAATCGGCCAAATTGGATACGCCCTAAGAAGTCAACGGTCGTCAATTCTAATTATTGGTAAATTGCTTTTTTGATATTAACGAAGCCGTAATAGATTGAAAGCGCGAAGACATTCTTTCCATACCTTACTTCTCTTTATTTATTTATTTTTCAATATCAATAAGCTGCGTCATCGCTATTATTATAATAATAAATAGAAGCTTACTCATTAGCATAACATTAGTATTGAATAAGTAAAATACAGTGTTAAGCATAAATTTGCTATCATATTAATAATTTCGTAAATAACTTCGTTACAGCCCTCTCATATTGTTGTTGTCAAAGGCTCCAATTTATCAACTTTGATCCAAGCATGAACCCAGATGAAATATAAACTAGCTATTACAAATTTCGTATGTTTTCTTTGGCTATAATCATGGTACTAGTCATTCTCTCATGAAAACCCGGTTAATACGTGCTATATACAATTCGCTGCTCTTTACTGGAACAATACCATATCTAGCCCAGCATTGTTGATAATATAATGATTAATTACAATTTAACCTTTAGTCTTTCTTATAATCAGATTGTCATTTTCATGTTGTGGTATTTATTGCTGATGCAACCACCAACGTTAGTCTTAATTATCAAGATTTAGATGGGGCACCTTATATAGTGTAATCATGTTCAAAGAGTAATTTATACTTGAATATGGTCATCAGTAAAACACAGTACGGCATTTAAAGATCGCGAAGAATTGGTGAAAAGTTATCCATCATATCTGATCTTGCTACTCGTTGGTAACATATTGGCATTGACTTATTTGTGCTCAGTTGTTTAGTTATTCGTTGGTAACTACTATTTTTCTAACTAAGAATTGAATCTATTGACAGATCTACTAGTCTTCTCATTATTATTTACTACATCTTAAAATGATATACATAAAACTGAATCCAAACTTTATTAAAAAGCCAGCCATTTATAGTACACTTACAATCATCTCAATTTGTATAACGTCATAGATTGCGGTATTATCAACTAAGACCAAAGTACATTATCTAACAAAAGTATAATAAGCATCAATATGCAAAATTTACTCTGTGACACTCATATATTACTGTTATCAGAACCTCCAATCCATCAACTTAGACTCAAGCGTGAACCCAAATGAAATATAAACTAGCAACTGGAAAATTTCGTTGTTTTGAAAGTCTATAATCATAACACTCATAATTCTCTGATAAAATCAATTATACTGTATACAATTTACTAGAATGTACCTTAACCTATCTCTTTATTTTATGACATCACCTAGCTTGATATTTTAGTCTCTTCGTCTCTGCAATTTAATTTGTCCTTTGATAAGATTACAATACGCGATAAATCAACATTTACATACGAAAAATGCAGGAAGCTAGCCTGCAATCTGCATCCTTTTAACTTGAAACGAAATTTACAACACTAATTAGATTATCGTTATTAGAGGCCCAGTAAATCTACTCAAACTCAGCATGAAACCCAAGCGATGCATAAACTAACTGCTAGACCATTATCAAGCTAATCTTTCCACAATCATGCCTTTAATAACTCCCTTATAAACATCGTTTAGGTATGCTAAATGCAATTCGAAGCCCTTTGCTAGGATAATGTTAATTAATTGGAGTTTAGTTTAAATTGAACAATTAGCAATAGACCTGAATACATTTGAATCATTTTACATGATGCGGGTACTATTATACCGCAAATTGGAACCAGTTTCATGTTATTACATTTTAACTAATATCCATTATAGAATATTACTACATCGCAAACTTGATATACTTTTACATCATCACACTGAAAGGAATTAATTTCTCAGCCATGAATATTATTACATTGAAAATCTGGCCTAATTTTATATGACTTCACTTCAATTTACGTGACATAGATACTTATATATCAAAAACCTGAAGTAGAGTCATTTGTATAAGATGGCTGTTTTAATTCCATTGATCTGGAACAGTTTCATAGGATTAAAGTTAAGCGGAGAAGCAGAAATTACCTTTCAAGATATTTCCAAAAAAATAAGAATGATTGAGCAATACATTTGAAAAAGACATAGCCTTGGAAACGCCATTAAACTGAGCTCTAAATGAAACTATGTGCTTTATGTAGTGTTCCACCTAACCAGTGATTATCAATCTATTACCCTATTTTATCAATTAATTATAACTTTTCGTGAAGAACTATAAGAAGATGATTAATAGCTTTAAATTCTTCTTTTAAACTTGCTGTATTACTTCTGGCAGAAAACTTTGCCATTTAGAATAGAAAAGCTTATCCGTACTATCACAGTCGCGTTTTTAAGACATCATTTAAAATAGGTTAAGATAATATACTTTACTTCAGTAGTATAGCGAAAATCTTGAATAGAATAAAAGTAATAAAGACTAGATCAATCACGGACGATACTACACTATTCAAAAATTGAGTAGATACTGTATTGCAACGACTAATACTGATGATGGAACTGATTATATTCTTCGAATAATTCATTTTTACATTTCTATAAAACCTGAGTTTTATACAGTACTTTGAGACTCACAAGAAACACCATAAAATGTTGTCTAGGCAAGCAGTGATTGTTGACTACAATTTATTGATGTCTGTTTTATATTAACACAAATACAGGCTAGAAAATGAAAATATATTATACGTTCAACATGTACAATATATCTGTTAACATGTCTACATATTTACGATGGCTATAAACTTGCATGATCACATCGAGATGGGAATGCTACTTTATTTAACGTTCGAATGTAAAATGTATTCAATCAACTTTACCTTCTACCTTTTACACAATAACCTTCATTATTAGCACTTTGGACGCGATTAAAACTAAGTCAATAGACGTCAATCAAATGTATAAATAGCCATTTACGTTTGATAAGGTAGAAAAAATTGATAATGGAAACGATTACTTTGTGTAAATGATCAACGAGCTTAATAACAGCTTTAACACGGAGACTAGATAGCTATTTGAGAAGTATGAGTGGTCATCAATGACAGGGTTTACTAAGGATGATTATACACAAACAATCTTAGTATAAAAATCAAGACTACACTATATGATATAATATAGTAGGCCATTTTGATTATTACAATCACTATGTGATAGTTCTAATAATTAGAAAAATAGCAATTACAATCAAATGATTTGCAATTTACATTAAATTTCAATTCCAATAGATTACGGAAGGTTTACTTATATAATAATTAACGATAATTCGGTATCTTAATTGAATATCGAAATAAATTTTTATTCCTTTCGATAACTACAATGATTACCGTCGTCGAGAGCCATAGTAATTTTCATAACAAGTCTTGGCTGATATCTCAAGTATAGGAGAATCCTTAGAAGTAATGGGCACTGTTCCATTTAATATCAGTCAAAGTTTTGGTGGAGATATAAATTAATGATAAAAAATTGCATTAAGAATTTAACATGATACTAATTAGCATTATACATTATCATTAAAGCGTTCGGAAATAATAATAGAAGGATGATCATCAATTTAGAAATTAAACTATGGAATCTATTAGATTCATTTCAAATAAAAATTGCTAATTGGCAAAGTACTAATCTATAGTTCTCTCTTAAAACTCTTTAAAGTGAAATATCGTACTTTAAGGCATGAGATTAAAACGAAACTTCGCAGTAAATTGTAGCTAAATTTACATCTAGTTTTTGATCAAGACAGCTACAAGCTCCGAGATTTTGTACTTGCGATGCAGTTAATGTCTCTGTTCCAATTAGATTAAGATTGCAAACAACTGTAGTGATTTACGGTACCATTTCTGCCGCAACTACAACACATTTTCATCGTTGATATAACTAAAGACGGTGTAATAATTATATTATCTTTACACTTACATATGCCAACTGCATAATTTTTTATATGTGGATTAGACCCAAATCGTGTTACTGGATTCAAGAGTGATTGATCTAGCTTGTTGTATTTAAACGTTGCATTGGTAATACTTTTCCAAGTGTCTTCGTCATATTTGGGTTGACGACTAGATATCATTTTTCTTGCGCTAGCTAATCTTTGCATATCTAATAATTTCAGTATATCCCGGGTTAATAAAGCTAGTATCTAAATGTTACACTATTTCTAATTAAATTTGATCTTAACTTAATCTGTTTTTTTAGACTAATTAGAGCACGACTGTATAAGAATAGAAAAGTAGGCCTCAACTTATTCCTAATCAATCAAATATTTCTAAGTTATTGCTATCGAATTCGAATCAAATCTCATTTATCAAGAATTTAATTTAATTGATATCAACTAAAGCTTATTATATCGATTCAAATTGATACTATCATGAACATAATAATGAACTTAATATTTTAAATATACAATTACATTGCAATTACTCCTATAATGCCTTTCTTCAGAATGGAAAGTAATTAATAATTCCGTATCAAGCTCTAATCTTTGCAAGCAATCATAACTCTATTTAATTGAAGCAATTATTCCAGTGCGAGCATAAATTGAAATGCACATTTCTTTAGTATGCTCGTATGCAATTATAATTGTTAGTTATCAATTATAAATTACAGCATAAAGTTTTCTTCTGTTCTATATATAAGGCTAACACGAAACAATAAATCAGCAGACAACAGTATACTTTGTCTAGTTCAGGATATTAGAAAGAACATGTAAACAGCGCCTAAGTTAGTTTTTATCCTTTATGATGATTCATTCTTTCCATTAATATAAATTTCTGTTTAAGAATAAATGATTAAAAACTTACCAGGCATTGAGGGTGTAAAATCTTTACGATAGGTCGATTGATTTTTGTCACGTTGGACCATTTCATATAGACTTTGCTCAATTAACGGCGATTGCTGACCATCTTCTACATTAGGTTTCAATTGCCAATCCATAAAAGGCTGTCAATAGGTAGGTGACAAATATGAAACCATTAGAATAATTTATGTAAAAATGAATAAATACATCCAGTAAAAATAAATATATAAGCTACAGATTAGCCATGTTGTTTTACTTTTAGCGGATGAGGATTGTTTTTAGTACTACTTGTTTTCAATGGTTCTAGTTTTCTTGGAGTAAATTTTGCTACTTGCTCATGTTCTACCTCATAAACAGTTTTGCCAAGTGTTTTATCTACTTCAGCATTTGATGATGGCAACATCTGGCTGTGTTTTGGCCTAACCCAAGAGACATTATTAACTTAGAAACTTAAAATATCCAGATTTCAGATAAGTGTTACAGTGTTACGACAACGATCAAACTATCATCTAATAATAGTACCATATAGAAATCTATTTAATTTTGTTAATATATTATTTCTCATTCGGCCTATTTAAATCAGAACAATTTGTTACCAAACCAGGAAATAAAAATCTTTAAATTTTTAATATTACTGCTAGTGATAAAATTAAGTCAAACACCATTAAATAAAATCTCTTTATGATATATTTTTGAAACAATAAGGATGTGTCTTTCATCGTGGAAGGCTATCATGTAGAAACGTTGATATCCATTTAATCTATGCAGTTTCAATTATATAAAACTGTTTTAAGTATTACTACAAAATTTTATTTTCATTTCGTTCTCTTTAAAATAAAGTAACTGATTATATTATTCATGGCATTATTCTGGCTGCCAACAATATTCCATCACATTAATGTCATTAAGTTACCAATATCTTTTGATTTATAAAAATTACTTGCAACATTATTCTTAAATTCTATTATTCAATCATGTTTTAATTTATGGCCGTAATAGTGGTTAAATAGCAATTTAGGAAAATGATTCTAGTAACCTGTATATTTTATTAACATACAGCAACTTGATCTCAATAAAATAGTATAGTACTGAATCACAACTAAGGATAAATTTGCTTGTAAATGGTAGTACTTATGCTATATTAAGGAAAAGGAGGTCTAGGTTGATGAGTTGTGTACGATGTTAAACTACATTACTCAACTAAATCTTAAATGATTATAATTTAAAATTTTTTGCAAATGCTTTGCAAAGCAGAAAATAATGCAAGTTTAATCAAAATGCTTGTAGTCAATCTTTGCAAATCATTTCAGTGGTAAGTATGTAATAGGAAATATAAGTCCACAATCTTACTTTTGAATATTGGCTGGTGGTTGAAATTGATACTTAAAATCAAGTCGATGTGATGTTATAGCTTTAGAAAATGGAGCTAAAGAAATAGATAATTAAATCCATCGATAAGATATTATTATCAAGCATATAGAAATATAGATATTATAAGAAAATTTCAGCATTTTAACTCTAGAAATGTTCTTTATGGAATAATAGAAAATGTGTTTCTACCCTAAAAATTTCTATCTATCTTAACATATCTCATAAATCTTCAGATTTGAGGTATGTAGCATACTGGGTCTATTATAAATTACGGTTATATCAAAGGCTATCTAAAAAGTTATATATAATACTAAATCGAAAACATCCTCCTATTTAAATTAATTTCGTAACCAAATAAATGTATATGATTCTGCTTAAGTCCATTAAATTTTGTAGCCTTTGACTTAATCTTGAAACTATCAAATATTAGTAGCAAAAAGATGAAAGCTTTTGCAAACTAGAATAAAAAAGGCAAAGATCCTAAAGTATTATGAAGTAAAATATGTAAAAGTTATGTTTTATAGATTATTACAAGAATTAGCCTCCATTAAACCAAACCTGGTTATTACGTATAGAAAAGATAAATTATAGCTATTTATTAGCATGCTTAGAACGATATTATTGACTTGATATAATCTACTAAAACTAACATAATAAAATTATGGCATGAATATTGTTAAGTCTCAGCTCATTTTTGTTTTTTAATTGATTAGTTAAACGGGCCGCATCCCTTGTCTACAGAACAAATTATCTGTAAATTTATAAGCCTAATAATGAATTTCGATATTACGAAAAGACGTAAAAAATAGCAAGAGATTCTTACTTTTACTATTCAGTAATATGAATAATGTCAATGATAGAAACTACAATACACATACAATCATCTTGTAAAGAAATAATATAATTCTGCTCAACATACGATATAGAATTACCTCTGTTTGGCAATAAGATTTAAAGCTTAAAACCTAATAAAAAATCAAATACTTTATTGCACGTTAAAGGGTACCTGCTGAGCTTTTCCGGCTACCAGTACGCTGCCTGTCTTCAAATTCGTCTATGTATTCTTTAAATATTCTCTTATGATTTTCAGGTGCATTCGAATGTAACTGTTGAAGCCTATCCTTCAATTTTTCACTTAAAATGTATTCATTTAGTTCTACCTGTATTCATAGCAATAACAAAAATATGAAAATTATTATTACCATTTAAACTATAATTAGAAAATTGCAGTAGCTACGTTCAGATAATATTACTCCCAATTTATCACACTATCTATGATTGACTTGGTACTATCAAGCCGAGTGGGAATCTTTCATTTTAGTTTGTATCAAGACAACTAAATCATGTTTTGAAAGAATTTTAAGAAATATCTAGGAGTCATATTCAAATATTTCTTATCATTTACGTTTACGCGTAATACACGTATAAAAACAATCGATTATAGGTTTTAATCGACAGTACGATTTCACATCATCAATATTACTCATGAAAATACTTTAAAGATATAGATGTATTACTTGTCTTATTGCATTTTATTTCTGCAAGGCTAGCAGTCAATCATAGATATTGGGTTGCCTTAACGTCTGTAATAACAATACTTTTACTCAAAAGTTACATCCTGTATCCACGGAGTATCGTATTTGCTGTAGTAATCCCCTTTGTCTAGTAAATAATTATAATTGAGTGTATTCTATCATTAAATACGTAACTGTACTATATTTGATTTCTGGTCCTCTCAAGATCTAACTATTAAATTAAATTAAACCTTATTTATGTGCATAATCGTTAATTATATATTGTTTACAGAGTTTTATAGCTCTAACTTCCTTTCAATAGATCTTTAAAAGAGTGCTTTAATGTTTATTCCTAGGAGAGTATCGGACTATCAGTATTTCTAAATTCTTTAATAAATACAAGTATAAGTCTCTTTAAGCTGATTGTGTGGGCTATCGATCAATTATATCATTCAACTTGTTAATAAGTTTTCACAAAGTCAGAAATAGACTTGATTTTCATAATATTTGAGTAGAATATCAAAATATTAGATCGTTTTGAACTACTGACAGAATTGGATCTGTTTATATAAGAATTTCATTATACTTCTCCTTCTAACTGGCGGAGCAAAATCTACAGTTCTAAATATCATACCTTATCGATAGGCAATTTTTACTCATTCTTTAATTTTATAAAGTCACCTAAACAAAATTGACTACCTTAGCTAATAGTAATAGAAATCTTAAAGGCTATCTAACACTATCTAACGTTCAATAACTATAAATCATGCCTGTATCAGCACTGACCGTTTACTTTGTAGCTTCTATAGCTACAATACAGGTTAGAATGTAGATGGTGATGACCAATATCTAATTGATTAGGATAGATTTAAACTTAACGCTACAATTCTATAACTATGTTAATTTTATCTATATCTTATGAATTTAACATGAAATTTAAATCTAAGTGTTAGCTCTGTGTAGAACCGAATATAGTAATATCATGGTTAACAAGAATAATCTGTTACTTTTAAGCTAGTAGGGAAGGAAGAAAAGCTGTACACTGATTTTCATTTCTAAAACTAGCGTTTGTTAAAATGATCTTACTTGTGCACTGATTAAGCCTTATGTCATACTGCTTTATAGCCAAAAGCTATTGAAATAATTTAGTTGATAATACCTTAGGTCGATTTATAACTTCCTTGGCATCTCTTCGAGATTGGCGTCGATGATAACTCGCGGTAGAAGCTGCCATTGGCGTAGAAATGATTTAAAATATCTGACTAACATCAACTGTGCTCACTCCAATTCTACGATGATACACACTTAGCATCGAAATGGTGTTGCTATGGTAACGAAGGATAGCAACAACAGCATAAAGGACACCATAGTACTTGACTAGACTATCTCTAATCGTTTCCTATTATTCATATTGAATTGATATTAGCACCCTTTTATACCTACTGTCTCATACTAAGTGCAGTAAAAAACAAGAAATTTACAAATGGCTACTTTGAGTATGCGTTTAATACGAGTTAACATTATGCTGAAAGCTTATAATCGACGAGTTAAAATTTAGAGATAAATTTTATTTTATTACTGTTATTATTTCTGTATAATTTTATTATGCTAATAATTCACATCGAATTTTATTTAATTTTTAAATTAAGTAAGATAGACTTAAAAAAAAGTGATAACATAAATTTGTAACGTATCATAGATTGTATAGAACCTGGGTTATTGAGTTACCCCTAAATACCTTCAATATTTATTATTACGTATAATATGCTACGGCTGTAATGCATAATAAGTACGGTATGATATGCAATGATATTTGAAATAGTCCAATCTGATGCCTTATGACGATATCTGTATAAGAAAGTGAATCTGTGGTTAATATATAAAGCACAAAAGAGGATCGGTAGCCATATAAGTTTAGCTGTCCTTTGTACCCTAGGCCAGGAATAACAATATTGGCCGATGTAAACCGAAATAAATACGTCAGGTATTAGTATCAATGTTTAATAATTTACAAATAGCGTTGAAATGATCATAACGTAACCAAATTCCTAACATCACACTTCAGTGCTTTAAAGAAATAGAATTTAATTTCATCAAGTTATCCTGTGGGGTTTTATATAAATGTAGAACGATGGATTACAACAACATCAATAAGCTGAGACCACATATAAAAAAAATGAGCTATGGGATAGAAAAGAAAAGAATACTAAGTGTGAAATGCTCTAATAAAATAAGTGGTGAAGATTAGTACGATGTATTAAATTTGAGTTTATTTTCAAACTTTTCTTTTATTTAAGCATATAATACTAAGACTGATTCAGAGATACTCTTAGACACTATTAACGTGCTTCTTACTCAATCACATCATTCCAGTTCACTAGCGCAATACCCTAGTCTTAAATCGATAAAGATTAAAAAAAATTGCATTTCTATAGGCGTTTTGATCGTTTAAATCTTACAATTATCAACGATTATATTAAATTTTAATATCTTAAAATCCGTAAACCAAGTGAGTCACACTAACTGTAGGTATTAGTGGTAACGTAAGTCCACGTCTCATTTTTCTTTTACATAATTCATCATAACGCATCAAACATGTGAAGTTTTATCTGTGGTATATTACATCTTACTGCACAAATTGACGAGAAATTCTCTAGTATGCAACACACAGGTATTGAAATGCATCGATTTAACATTCGCTGAAACTGTGTATAATGTTCATCAATAAACTTTGCAATACTAGTAGTACTAGTTTTATACGATTAAATTTTTAATTGAGATTCATAACTGAGTAAAATGTGCTAATGGTTCTCTTTAATATTAAAATTCAATGCACTTAAATTAAATTAGTTGTTTAAAATTATTGAACTGAAATTTTCAATATAGTAGCATTAACAATGCATAACCAGCTCAAGATCTATTGCGACTTTTTAAATGCAGTGATATGAACAAATTCTGAATTGGTTATCCTTACATACAGTATCAGATACGCGCATATTTTGAATATATTTATTCTCGAAGGCTTTAAATAAAAGTATCTAAAATCTTAAACTTTGCTATATAGAGCCCTTAAAAATTTAAGGAATAACCTATAAAAATTTTAGGTCATTTGCTTTCAAGCAGCTAAAATTATTTTGCAGCGGTTAATTTATATTAAGTATGAAGCGATGGGGTAATCATTATCTAGATATGTTCTTTCACAAGTCTAATGCCAAATACTGAAGTATGTATATTACATTTCTGCAAACTGAATAACTATATTATCAGAAACTGTAAGCAAACACAGTAACCTGCATATTGAGATAATATTATGATAAAATTATAAGTTACTCTTGTACAATCTAGTTGAATTTTTTATAATCTACTACAGTTTAAAAATAGCATTTACTTTTAGTTTTAAAAAGTATAACCTATCATCTAGATGCAGCCTTCTTTCACAACTCCCTTAGCTGAATTTACGAAAATAATGCCTATTTTAATCAAATTTAAGTATAATTCTATCGTAAACTGTAACTATTCTGTACATGATTATAGCACAGTAGAGAATCTACGCTTGCTATTATGTATCATAGTGTCTTATTCTAGCAGCCCATAAGAGTTCCCTCAATTAAGCTTCGCGAATATAAGATAGTAACTAAGCTCCGCTTCTGGATACATTGTTTCAGTAGACTACCAAATACATGGTAACGTAATAGCTTATATTGTACTAAATAGCGTATAATTATGCAAGAAATGGAAACGATGTGACAATTATGTGATGCCAAAGAGAATCGTAACTTTAATTTCACCCGGTAGCATTGCACTGGGAAGGTTACTATTTAAGATAGTGTATCCGTTTTATGTTTTAGAATTACTTCAAGTAACATAGTTGATAGAAACCTATTTTAGGACAAACATCCGACTGCGTGATTGTCGAAGTTGCTCTTCGTTATCAATTGTAATAAGACCGGACAAGACCTCAGACCTTTTAATTGTTAGTAACGCCAACTGTTAAGCTTGAACAGCTTAATTGTTATTATTCGAATTTATCATCGATTAATAACATGGGAAAATATCAAAGCAGCAATAAAACTAAGGTAAAGAATAAATTGTTTTTCACTACAATACATTTATTAGCATCGAAGGATTTCTATGTTTATATAATTTCTTTCTTTCCGAGTTATTTTGTTTCTTATTTAAGTTGTCATTCTCCGCCCTTTTGCTCTAGTTTATGGAAAACAATTCATCGTGATTAATGCCAGTTGAAAATTATTTTGTAAATCGCGTGCCTCTAGGAGTTAATTAACATTCGATTCATTGTTTAACGATATGATGACTCATTAAACTAATTTTCCTCAAGCTGAATATCGATTGTATAGATTGAAAACAAGTTTACTTATTAATTAGTGGATTCCTATTCCCTTAGGACGAAGTAATCTTGATTAGTCTATCTTGACTTGTTCTAGAGTGAAGGTATTTCATAAAATAGAATGAAATAGTCATGCTAAATGATTACAGACTCAAAGCATATGCATATAATATTAAATAAACATTTCGATCTAAACATAGAGCCATCTATATAACTTGACTAGTTTCTATTTTATATCCAAATTCAAGAGCTTTAATCCTTCTACCGATACATCAAGGAACTGGATTGATACAGAACTAGGAAGGCGAAATTCTCCATCCATGTGAGTTCGTCTACAGAACTTTGACCTAATCTTTATTTTGACACTAAATCAAAGAAACAAAATTCTTTTATTATTTACCGAATAATAGTGAATGAAAGCTTCTAAACTTTAACATCCTTTATATTATTACTTAATTTACACGTACGACACTTTGTCTTTGTGGGGTGAATATGACAAATCGAACAAGGATACAAACGATCATTTTTTTTTCCTTTAATCCAGTATCAGCCTATAATCAAATAAAGTAAGGGTGGAGTTATACAAAGGATAATTACATACAAACTTAACCATTGTCGCTAGTTTTTCAGGGATACAAACTATCAGATCTAAGGAAGTAAATCAATAAAATTCAAAGGAAACTTCATATATATATCTTATGGATGTGCTATTCTTGCTCCAGTAAGAATTTTATCGATAATAATAATCATAATTTTAGCAAGCGATGGAAAGGGCTGTTATAACGGTAATCATTTGTATCTACTTTTTCATTTTTGCATATTCTTGAGAATAGATCATCACAATAAACGCATTTAAAACAATAAATAATCACTCAGTTTGTCCGCATTTATTTTAGATAAAAATGAAATCAACAAGTAGTTATGGAACACCTTCACAGTCGAATTGAACTTATCATATAATTAATATGCCTCCCAAAGGTGTGCAAGGTGGGGTCATAATATTCAAAATCAACGTTACTTAATTTGTATTGAAGACTTAATTTTCACTTGATAGTCCATGTTCAAGTATCTAATGGAAATTACCCATCAATCAAGCATAAAGAGGGCTGGAATTAACTCTTAATTGACTTTTTAGTGAAGAACCTTTATCTTGGTTTAGATAAATCTTTAAGATATCATTTGCCTTGTAGTAAAGACTTAATTATTACTCCTTAATCTATATTCAAGTATCGAACGAAAATTATCTATCAATCTAAAATAAAGAAGGCTGGAAAAAGTCTTAATTGGTGTTTTAGTAAAGAACTTTATCTCGACCAAGATTAAACTTTCAGATATCATTTAGAATAGGGACTGACATCATTTGGACGTGAAAGACATTAATGATTAGTTTAGGTACATCAATAATCCAACTGAATTAATAATATAATTAGGAGAGCTTGGAAGATGTACAAAGTTGAGTTATAACATTCAAAATCGATTCTCCATAATTCGTATAAGCGACGCAATTATGTCTCCAAAGTCTACGCTATAGTGCATAATCGAAATTATCCATCAATCAAGTATTAAAGGGGGTTGGAATTAGCGCTAATCGTGGTCCAAACATAGAAGCTGCTTTGGCTAAGATTGATTTTAAATATCGTTCTGGTAAATAATTAAAGTCATCACGCCTAAAATTTCCTTTATGCTTACTCTTTATCGTGAATGAATAAAATAATCAAGAATGACGTAGCATTTAGGAACAATAACCTCCAAATACTTTCATGATTACCTGGATAATTAGAATATTGAATTAGCTCATGTTGATGATCAACTGGGTAATGGAAATTAGACATGGTAAAATAAACATTAACTGCTGCCAAACAATCAGGATACGACTTTCTTCTACA